ACGAGAAACGCTCAAAACTCGGTGAACTTAATACAACTCTCACTACAAGTGCTCAAAATGCTGTGAACTTTACACAGCTCTCCCGGTCTTTCGCTAATAGGGCAACTAGTGGTATCCCTTCTTCAAACTTTTATTAAAAGTAGTCTGTCTAATTATTTCTCTCAAAAATCGTACCTCCACATCAGCCTTAAAAAAAGTTATGCTGGGTGTGCCGGGCAATAAGACTTACCACTGCCCAACACTTAATAAAACATAAGTGTTGGGCAGTGGTACTCACATTCCTTGATTAATCAGCGATTATTATTAATTAAAAATTATATTTGTTGTTTGATTTGGCGAAAAAGTTTTAACCATCGCCAGCAGTATTTCCTATATCGGAAGAGTACCGCAGACAGTAACATCACTCTGTAATTTTTTCTTTAAAAATGTCAAAGTTATGTTGTCGCTGGGCATTAAGGCAGAGGGGTGCGATCTATGGCCAAGAATTCGACTTCTGTCGCACCCGTTTATGGGGCGGACCCATTCATACATCCATTCATTCGTCCACAGATCGTAAGTTTGACCTGAACCAGAGAACGATCAGTATCACCATAGGTTATAATTTGTTATGGGAACATGGATGACTTTGTGACCCGACATATTAAACCTGCACCGATCACCATTCACTTCAAGAGTCGGCTGAATTCGGACAAACGTGAGTGCAGCCCCCTACCAGGCTATCCCAACCCCTATCAAAGTGATCAAAATCAGGTATAATTTAAAATTATATCGATGTCACTGTTATTTTTCAAAGAGTTGCGAGAAATGTAAATAATGCAATTTATCGCAAAGGATTTTTTCAAAGTACGAAATGGAATCATTTTAAAGCATATACTTCGGATTTTTTCCCAGCCACTTCGATTTTTCCCAAATTTTAACGGTAAAATTTAGGATGAAACGTGGTGGCTCAGGGGATGGAGCGTTCGCCTTCGAATGAGGTGAACCGGGTTCAAATCCCAGCGATGGCTGTTCCATACGAACTGACGTTGCACTGACCACAGCTCTAACGTAAAATATCCTCAGTGGTAAACGGATCATGGCCGTCATGAGTCACTTGCCGCCAGACTAACCGTAGTTGGTTTTCGTGGTTTTCATTTCAATGTAACGCAAATGCGGGTTAGTTCCCAGGGGTCTGTTTAGAAGAAACTTGGGTGCGTTAACGGAGCCTTCACAAAATATCTTTTCGTAAAAACGCACCCTTCACTAAATATTTTAACTTAAAAACGAACCCTTAACAAATTTGTTCATCTTCATAATTGTTTTGTTAATCGAATAAATCCTTCCCAGGAAGGGGGGAAAGAAAGACATATGCAAACGAGCTAAGTTTTGTCTTCGGCAGAAGCTTCTTCCTTTATTCGTCCGAAATGAATATTCTGCGTTCAGCAGTATAGGCTAAGTACCAAGTATTTGTATGTTGCATCTCGAATATAGTAGCAGCAATTGCTGTTTATTTTTTTAAATTTAATTTTTTTAATTATAATTTTACAGNGGGTTAGTTCCCAGGGGTCTGTTTAGAAGAAACTTGGGTGCGTTAACGGAGCCTTCACAAAATATCTTTTCGTAAAAACGCACCCTTCACTAAATATTTTAACTTAAAAACGAACCCTTAACAAATTTGTTCATCTTCATAATTGTTTTGTTAATCGAATAAATCCTTCCCAGGAAGGGGGGAAAGAAAGACATATGCAAACGAGCTAAGTTTTGTCTTCGGCAGAAGCTTCTTCCTTTATTCGTCCGAAATGAATATTCTGCGTTCAGCAGTATAGGCTAAATACCAAATATTTGTATGTTGCATCTCGAATATAGTAGCAGCAATTGCTGTTTATTTTTTAAAATTTAATTTTTTTAATTATAATTTTACAGTGTTGATCATAATCTTGTATGTCTTTACAAATTAAAAAGCCCTTGAAAAAGTTTTTTGCTATAACTGGACCCTATTTGCACACATTCACAAAATCAGGACCCTGGTTGAAAGAATGTGACTTAGCGTTTATTTTATATTCACACATTACGAGTAATTTTTTCACATTTTTACAAAAACCGAGTCTTTCACAAAATGTCTGGACAGACCCCTGCTTCCATTAAAAAGTCATCCACGAAGGCAAATTCCTCCCAATACTTGATCCAAGAGTTCCTTTGTCTTCTGGATAGGGTTCGAAATTACAAGGCTACGGAGTAAAACGTTAGTAGTTGTGAAACCTAAAAATGGGTCAACTGTTTAAAGACCGGCTGTAAAACTTGCACAGTGATAAAAAAAATCAATCACCCTGAATAATTTTCGTTCTAATGATAGGATTTTCACGTACTAAGCGTCAATCGTAATGGATTTTAGGGGTGACTTCAAGTAACTTAATTAATAGTGAGCGCTAATTAATTGGCGCTAACTGTTAATTAATTTGCGAAATCAGACACCAAAACGTACTTTCTCTAAGCAAACATACGTTTTTTTTCTTCTTCTTTTCCTTTTTTTTTCTTTTACATATTTGGAGTTTTGATCGATAAAAAATTGGATCAAAATTTAGGGCACTATGAAGTTTTATATATTTGGCATCGTCCCGAAAAATGACCAAGAATCATCGTCAAAGCAGGATTAGAAATTTACTTTAAAATTACATTAGTAGTCGTAAACCCAAAATGGGTTTGGCTGTTCAACGATGATTATAAAATAAAGTAAAATTAAATCTAGTATTTACCAGGGGTTTGTTCAGTAACGTATGTACATACGTTTCTGAAATTGTTCGATATAATAATGGATAGAAATTGTCTCGAAAAATATTAAGATTCTTTTAGATTTGTCATGCTGTCGTGAACGCTAAAAGCGGTGATATTTTGTCGCAATTAGCGCAATTTCATTTTTTTTTTACACGAAATTTTTACTAAACATATTTTTCATAATCTTTTCATTATTTTGTATTTTTTTTCTCATCATTTTAGGTTAAAATAAGGGAAAAATATTATATTTAACACTAAATTGCCCAAGGAAGTCATTTTGACTGCTTTTTAATTTCAATTAGAAGAAACAATTAATACAATAATGACACAATTTCTTAGATTTTTGTGACTTTTATAATTATTTTTATCGTTAATATTTACTAATAACTTGTTAAATAACTGAAAATAATATGAAAAATATTAAAAATTAATTTTAAAAACAAATTTCTTTATACATTAGTTATTCATTCACAATGCAGTCATTTTTGTCTACTTTTGGGCATTATAGGTATTTCAGTTTTTCTAGTGTTAATAATTAAGGTTATGAAATACACTTTTAATTGTATTGCTTTCCTTTTGTAATGTTCGCTGCTTTTTCTGTACTCTATTGTCCACTGGAAATGACGCAACAAAACTGTTGTATGCTATTTTAACCAAATATATTCTGCTAATTTTAATGTGCTTATTCCATAAAAGTCTCATTTTATAAACCCTCAATTGAGAGCGATGAAACTTTTTTAATCTTATTTTGATTTTTTTCTCTTTCTTTTTAATTGTAACTTTTTTCCTTCCACCGAAGTTCCATATTATGATGGCCAGTCAGTGAATATATGCATGCAAATCAAGGGCGCCGGCAGCGGGGTGCAAGAGTAACACTCGCCCTGGCTTTTTTTTTTTTTAACAAATAAAGAGATACAGGAAAACAATTTTGGTAAAAAAAATTTTTATTGAAAATATTTTTATTCAAAAACAAATATTTAAGTAATTATTGATACATAACAATTAAAATATTGTTTAATCAAACAAGAATTGTAATCGTCTTGTTTGCTGTCCAAATCTGTTTATAACTTTTTTCAATGAATTCTGAGTCATCTTTGATTCTTTTCTTATGCGCACTGAGCATGCACAAACTTGGCAGATACATAAAGCTATATTTTTAAATTTCATTCAATAAAATATAAATAATATTATATTTTCTATTTGTTCTTATAACACAAACTGACTTCTCACAACTGTAAAACTTCATCAACACAATAAATACCAATGTTAAGCGTGCGCAAACACGCTAGTATACGAAACTACTGTTTGTAGTTATTTGTGTTTCAAAGTCAGTAGCTATGCCAGCGCCATCAATACAGTTTCTAGTGGCAAGCACTAGAATTTCGTACAATTTGCAAGCACAAGAAATTCGTACTTTTTTTTTAAATATCTTGTTAACAATGAAGACATGTATCTTGAAAAAAATTAACAGATGGAAGTATATGTTATAACTAGAGCCCGGATTTTGATGACCTAAAAAGTCTCAACTAATGCCCTTAAAAAGTGCAAAAAATGCCCTTAAAAAGGGCAAAAAATGCCCTTAAAAATGCAAAAATTGCGCAAAAAATGCCTTAAATAAAGTAAAAATATTGAATTAAAAAAATGTTTTGCTCTTTAAAATTATTATGAGTCATTTAAAAAATATAAAGCAATGCAATACTTGTTCTACGTTCATTAAAGTTTGAAAAATATGTTTTATATCCTAAAATAACAAAAAAAGGAAAATATATTGACACCAAAATATTTTTATTTTGTATAGAAACTTTAATGGATATAACAACTTCCATCTCATAATATTACTAAATATCAGAATTACATTGGATTATTAAATGTTTTTTGATAATTTGAAATGTAAACGAGCGTCTCTTGTCTGAAAGTAAATTTTCATTCCTGCAGAAGCTTCTTTCAACGTCTACTGATGTTTTAAGTGCGTACTTGAAAAAGACGGTCTCACTTACTGACAATTTTTCGTCAATTTGAAAAGATTTTGCTTCACCTGTTAATATTCTATAGATTTTCTTCATTGTTTGGAAGCCAGTGTAATAATGAATATTGATGAAAAATAATAAAAATTGGAAAAAATTAACAAAAAACTATAAAAAATGCATTAAAATGCAAAATACGCCGCAAAATTTAAAGAAAAATGCCCTATAAATCTAAAAAAATGCTCTAAAAGACAAAAAATGTCCAAAAATGCAAAAAAATGCAAATGTCATCAAAATCCGGGCCTTGGTTATAACAAAACAAAATGTAATAACAGAATATTTAAAAAAAATTCTTTTTTTTGGGGGGGGGGAGGAGTTTGTTTGAGGGTTGCACCCCCCTTTTATATTGTTCTGCCGGCGCCCTTGATGCAAATGAAAATTCATTAAAACATGTATTTTAAGAAAAACGAATCTCTTTTAAAAAAATGTTTCTTTGTTTTTCTTAGTTAGCACAGCTTTTACCACTTGAAGAAAGTTTTCTACTTTTATTCCGTTTCGACAATCCACTGGAATCAAGTGTTGAATTTATGAAGGTAAAGTATTCTTCTTCTTTACATTTCATTCTGCTACATTCACAAAAAAACCTTGTTTTGCAGCCACGATTTTGTAACGGAGATTCGATGGGTGCAGTGACGTCAGCTACATACTTCCTAAACTATTAAACTTTTTTTTTGAAAAAAGAAACTTAATGCTTTTAAAAAAATTTGTACTAAATCGTAGTCATTTTCCATTAACTGGGTGTTTCGATAAAAAACTCTAAACGGTGATTTTAAAAAGTGATTAAGGGTGCTTATTTTCGATTTTCATTTTTTAAGAGCCCTTAAAGGTGCTTTTTTCATTGGGTGTTTTTAAAAAGTGCTTAATTTTTCCTTTTTCAAAATGAGATTTTTCCTTTACCTTGTTGATTTTCGCTATGAATTATGCAGAAAGACATTGTTCTATTCAACGTTTTCCCAATTAATTCAACCCCAATCTATCTCCTGTCCGTAGCGTATGAAAACGCCATTCGATTTACATGATTCGAAAATGTTCACAATTGTCAAAAACAATGACGAAAGGATTTTTTTTTTAACATGACGGTTAAAACCAGATAAAACCGTCAATTGTCAAAAACTTTCCAATCCCACCGAATTGTGATTTTTTTTAAAGTGCTTAAAAATATTATTTGAGTGTTCGAAAAGTGCTTATTTTTTGTTGAATAATTTGACTACCCTGTATATGTAAAAAATGCATTGAGCAATGAATTAAAAACTGTTATTCTTTGTGTTTGTAATACATAAAAATTAGCAATATGCAATTTTGTTTAATCATAATCATGTTTTTTTTATTTCCTTCCAAACATCCATATTTCTTACATTCAATCAAGAAACATAAAGTCCGGCCATTTGACCGGCTATGGTAGAAATAGGTATTAAGTATTGGTATGTTTAGTTACGCCATATCGCGGAAGAAAAGATTCTCTTTTTACCTTCATAACTCATTAAAAATTTTAAGTATAGAGAAAGTAAGTTCAGACAAACTTAGAGTAAATCATGAGGTTTCAAACACTGACAAGAAATATTTAAATTATAAAAATGAAAATAAATTATGAGAAGATAACTTAGGATTTCGGAATGGAGAAGTTCTCTGTTGTTGTTGTTTCTAATGTCACTTGCCACACGGGCAAGTGGCTTTCTTTCTTTCCTTCCAGACGCGGATACGTACATAGGTTAGTAAAACCCGTATAATCCGCGTCTGGCAACTACTTCCAGCCAACCTCAATCAATTATTTAAAGTTTCAAAAGAAAGGAGGTTACAATTTTGTTTACAAATATACAGAAATATCAATTTGTTTACAAATAGACAGAAATATTAATTATAGTTTANTTTTCAGTAGCGTCATCTATGGCCAAGAATTCGACTTCTGCCACACCATACGTCGCACCCGTTAATAGGGCGGACCCATTTATACATCCACAGATCGTAATTTTGACCTAAATCAGAGAGCGATCAATCTCCAATCCAGTACCCCCAGAGGTATTGATTTGTTATGGGAACATGGTGGACTTTTGCGACACGATAGATTTAACGTGCATCAGCGTACTACACGGTCATGCTGGCCTGCTAGTCTTCGGCCTGCTGGGTTCGAACCCACAAACTCTCGGACATGGGCCGAGCCAGGATATTTTTTCGGGGGGGGGGGGGGATATGGTAAGAAGCAAGGACGGTTTCAGACATGCAAAGTAGGGGGAAAGCATTGTAACAAATATTGTTTATTCTGTTGTTTGCAAAAGTTAAACTAGTAATTAAAAAATGTTACTTAATAATTATTTTTCAATTAATATTATTTAATAATTATTTTCCAATTAATATTATTTAATAATTATTTTTCAATTAATATTACATGATAATTATAATCAATTTGTAAACGAAGTTTACAAAGACATGCGACGGGGATTTGAAGAAAAGTTTTCGATTGCTTTTTTAGGACAAACCGAAATCATATCCCGAAATATGCTTAATAAAGTTAGTTAGTAAAAGGTTTGATTCGACAGTTTTTAAATTTTTTTTTTTACTGAGAGGCTCAAAGAAAGACTAAAAAGTTTGAATCCCAGAATTTCGGGGGGGGGGGGGGATTCCCCTGGCTACGGGCCTGGGCCGAGCACCCTATGGACCAGGCTATTCCGGCACACTCTTTTAAACTTTAAATCAGTAATGGAGTTGCGCTGAAGAGTTTCTCCCTCGTTATGGCATCAAAAGTTGTGTTGTGTTTTGCAGATCTGGAGGGAGTACGATACAGATGGAAGCGGTTTCATTGAAGCAGATGAATTGAAGGTAAGTCTCTTCTCTTCATTCTAAGACGCAATCAATGAGCTCTGCTGATTGTTCAAACTAATTGACTGATTGTTTGATTCTATAAACAAATGCTGATTTCCTTAATACCAAAAATATTTTAAACCATTCTATATTTTATTTCATAACCGTCGTTGAACAGCCGACCCAATTTCACCTCCTTAGCCTTGTCATTTTGAACCCAAATCCAGAAGACAAGGGAACACCTGGATCAAGTATTGGGAGAAATTTGCCTTCGTGGAGAACTTTTTGATGGAACTAAGCCGCATTTGCGTTACATGGAGAGGAAGACCACGANAGTTAAACTAGCAATTAAAAAATGTTACTTAATAATTATTTTTCAATCAATATTACATAATAATTATTTTTCAATTAATATTACATGATAATTATAATCAATTTGTAAACAAAGTTTACAAAGACATCCGACGGGGATTTGAAGAAAATTTTTCGATTACTTTTTTTAGGACTAACCGAAATCATATTCCGAAATATGCTTAATAAAGTTAGTTAGTTAAAGGTTTGATTCGACAGTTTTTATTATTTTTTTTACTGAGAGGCTCAAAGAAAGACTAAAAAGTTTGAATCCCAGAATTTCGGGCGGGGGGTGGATTCCCCTGGCTACGGGCCTGGGCCGAGCACCCTATTTACCAGGCTATCCCGGCACACTCTTTTAAACTTTAAATCAGTAATGGAGTTTAAAGGAAATTTGCGATGAAGAGACGATCAAAAGTTGCTCACTGTGTTGTGTTTTGCAGATCTGGAGGGAGTACGATACAGATGGAAGCGGTTTCATTGAAGCAGATGAATTGAAGGTAAGTCTCTTCTCTTCATTCTAAGACGCAATCAATGAGCTCTGCTGATTGTTAAGATACCCACTAATTTACTGATTCTATAAACAAATGCTGATTTCCTTAATACCAAAAATATTTTAAAGCATTCTATATTTTATTTCATAACCGTCGTTGAACAGACGACCCAATTTTTGGGTTTACGACTACTTATATTCACCTCCTTAGCCTTGTCATTTAGAACCCAATCCAGAGGACAAGGGAACTCCTGGATCAAGTATTGGGAGAAATTTGCCTTCGTGGAGGATTTTTTGATGGAACTAATAACATTATGCTAATTTCCTTAACACTAGGTTGCCTATAAAGGAAGTCAATTTGACTGCTTTTTAACTGCTTTTTCATTTGCTAAAAATATACAAATAATAATGCATAAATTAATATTTTCTTTCCAAGTGAAGTAAATTTTTTTTATCCTTAATATTTACTAATAACTGTTGTTGTTGTTTCTAATCCCCAAGAGGTCCATCCCAATTAGACCAATTCCATAAGTCCAAAAATGTCCAGGAAGTCTAAAAATAGATGAGGTTTTGAAAAAACCTCGTCAATCTTAAAATCGATACAGTTTACTAATAACTTGTTATATAACTGTAAATAATATAAAAAAATATTAAACATTAATTTTAAGCAAATTTTTTTACATCTTAGTTATTCTTTCACATAATGCAGTCATTTTGACTGCTTTTGGGCAATATAGGTATTTCAGTCTTTCTACTGTTAATTCCAAAAATATTTTAAACTATTCTATATTTTATTTTGTAACCGTCGTTAAACAGCGAACCCAATTTTTGGGTGTACGATTACTAATATAATTAGCTTAACCCTGCCCCCGTAAGGGAGCATCCGGGGACACTCTGAAAGTTCGAAGTGCGCGCAACACTTCAATCACATAAGCAAACGTATTCAAATTAGATTTTTGACAAATAGGTAGAATATTAAATATGAAATCCAGAAAACAGCTTTACTCAGAAATGAACTAAATACAAACAAACATTACAAAGAAAATAAACACTATCAATCAGAAGAGATGTCGCATCTTCAGTAGGGGTGAAAAGTTAATAAAACGAAACAATTTCACATGGTTAAATGTAAGATGTTTGTAACTCAGAATATAACTACAGCTGGCACAACAGTACTTAAGGTATCAAATTCCAGGATTTTTTTTTATTACGAAAAAAAAAACATATATATATATATACTCTAGGAACACAAGTGATTAAAAATTCAATGAGGAATCATCACATAAGGGCAGAGATTGACAGAAACCATGAAATTTGTACGACTACTAATGTTCAACTCCATAACCTTGTAATTTCGAACCCTATCCAGAAGACAAGAGAACTCCTGGATCAAGTATTGGGAGAAATTTGCCTTCGTGGAGAACTTTTTGATGGAACTAACCCGCATTTGCGTTACATGGAGAGGAAGACCACGAGAACCTCCCACGGTTAGCCTGGCGGCAAGGGGAGTCTAACCCATGATCCGTCTACCACTGAGGATATTTCACGTCAGCACTGTGGTCAGTGCAAGCCGGAATTCGTATCGACCGGTCATCACCGGGATCGAACCCCGTTTCACCTCATTGGGAAGCGAACGCTCTATCCCCTGAGCCATCGCGGCTCTTAAACCATTCTATAGTAGTTTTTTATTTGATTGATCCTATCAATTGATTGCATTCACTAGAGCAGTGATTCTCGATTTTTTTTTTTTTGTCGCTGCACACTTTTAGCGATTTCAAAAAACTTTTTCTGCAAAACTAAATGGTATAACATTATGTGTTTTGGTATACTTTTTGCATATTTTAATGTTTGAAGTAATGAGATTGAGAAAAGTATGGAGTGTAAAGTTTAAATAGACCTTTCATATTAGATCATTAAATTTAGTGGAACGATTTCTCAAGCACTAGGTTTTGACCCTTATAAAAAGATTTTTTACAAATATTTTCCTATGTGCTTCCGATGTTCCTTCGCTAAATGAATGAGATTCCATTTTGTTTTCACTTTCATAAGAAAGAATATCAAACATTTTTTTAAAAAATATAATAAGCCACTATAAAGAAGAAACGTTACCAAAGAAATTACTGAAGAGTAACTGATGATCGTGTTGTTTTGCTAGCAGACATTCGTCTCAAATAAACAGCGCCCCTATACGTCGTTGCGTTCGCGAATGTCATTTTTAATATATTTGAATAAAAAAAATCCTTTTCAAGTATTTTTTTATAAAATTTTTGAGGAAATTTACTGTTTTATAGCATAATGCTTAGTTCAGAGAACTGTTCACATGACAAAAAAAGTGTTATCCTGCCACAAAGTGTTGACAAATTTTAAAATGAACTTAAATAACTAAACTGTTATAAACTAGTTTTTAGCACAACTAAGTATAAGAATTTATAAAACAATAAGGTTACACCAGAATACAAATTTCGTCAAACCACCTCTGTGCAAGTCTTCATAGGTGAATTGAAGAGAAATGGGCAGAAATTTTGCAATAGAGTGCATCATTGTCCACATGCATCTCAGATATCATCTTTCCAACCACGGGAACTAACGAGCCGAACCACGAGAAACACCCCCACACCATTATGTTACCACCACCATAAGAACCGAGCGTCCAGATTCTTTTGCCCGTAAGAACCGGGTGTCCGGATACTTTTGGCCATAAGAACCGGGTGTCGGTATACTTTCGGCCATAAGAACCGGGCGTCCGGATATTTTTGACCATAACAAACGGCTGTCTGGATACTTTTGGCCAGAACAACCGGGTGTCCGGATACTTTTGGCCAGAACTACCAGGTGTCCGGGTAGTTTTCGCCAGAACTACCGGGTGTCCAGATATTTTTGACCATAACAACCGGGTGTCCTGATACTTTTGGCCAGAACTACCGGGTGTCCAGATACTTTTGACCATAACAAACGGCTGTCTGGATACTTTTGGCCGGATAGTGTATTAGGTTCGTGTGTTGTTGGAAAGGGGTTTATGTTACGTTCGTAAGTTTATGGAAAAGAGACAGCTATATATTTGAAAAATTGTTATGTTAACACAAACTCATACATTGCTTAATTTCTCCTTTTTCTATGCATTTAGGTTATTATTCTTAGATTATTATTAGATTACTACTATTAATTTCTCTTCTATGCATTTAGAATTTCTTAAAAGATCTTCTCAAAGAAGCTAGAAAAGAAGCCATTGAGGAAGACAAGCTCATTGAATATACAGATACACTAGTAAGTAATACACTTAATTGTAATTTGATTAGTACAGTGTCACCCTCTGCAGGGGTCTGTCCAGACATTTTGTGAAAGGTTCGTTTTTCGTGAAATTGTGAAAAAATTACTCACATTCTTTCAACCAGGGTCCGCTTTTATGAATTTGTGCAAATAGGGTCCTGTTATTGCAAAAAAAAACTTTGTTAAGGAGTTTTTAAATTGCAAATAGATACAAGATTATGCTCAACACTGTAAAATTATAATTAAAAAATAAAATTTAAAAAAATAAACAACAATTGCTGCTTCTAAATTAGAGATGCAACATACAAATATTTGGTATTTAGCCTATACTGCTGAACGCAAAATATTCATTTCTTACTAATAATGGAAGAATCGTCTGCCGAAGACAAAACTTAATTCGTTAACATCCATCTTTCTTGTTTTCTGCCCTGGAAAGGGTTTATTCGAGTAACAAAATAATAATGAAGATAAACAAATTTGTGAAGGGTCCGATTAAAAGAAAAGTCATTTTGGGAAGGGTCCGTTAACGGACCCAAATTTCTTCTAAACAGACCCCTGCTCTGTTAAATAAATGTTTTTTTGTTGCTGAAAAGAAACGTAGCGCAATCACTGTTTTAGTGATAATAAGTATATACGAGCATGCAAAACAAAATTTTAACGAATTCAATTTGAACAATCTATTTAGAATATTTACAGAGACCGAGATAGCCTGGTTGGTAGGGTGCTGGACTCTCGGCCGTAAGGACTCTAGTTCGAATCCAGCAGGCCGAAAAATCTATATATAGTAAATGGTGACTGGTGCACGTTAAACCTGTCACGCCTCGAAAGAGACATGTATTCGAAGAGAAAATTACTTTGGCTATCATGCGTGAGCCAATCATTCCAATAAGGGATGCCAAATAAAGTTAAGCTTTATTCTAATGGTGTTGAGTGCAGCAAGAAATATACCCTATTTTTTCCACTTCTATATTTTATTTAACCAAATTCTTAAAAGAAATACAAAAATTTTCTACATATTTCTAAACATAAACTAGAGTTCTATTGGTTAAACGTTATTGAATACAGGTTAAAAGTTATTGAAGACACAAGAAAACGCTTTTACCCAATTCTCCATAATACAAAAATTATCTAATTCTTATTTCAAAACGTAACAAATGGAATGAACTACAAAATATGAGTTTTGCTTAGTTTAATAACGTAAACTAACCGGAAAAAGAAACGAAGGATAATAAAAAAATTAAAACTATTTTAGCTTTATTAATTGCTTAATCTAATATAGCTAATTAAACTAATTTCGCTTTATTAATTGCTTAAACTAATTTAGCTAATTAATTACTAATTTAGCTTTAATCATGAAAAAATGTACATTTCATTATTTTGTTTTCCGGCTTTGTAATATTTTTTTGTAAACAGATAAAAAATATTAAAACATTTTTTAAAAATGTTTTATTTTTATAAATTTTCTTTTTGTCTTTTCATTAATCTTTATTATTTTCCATGTTTTCTCTACATTTTAAACTTATTTTATGAGAACCATATACAGTCGGACTCCTATTTAACGAACTTCCATTTTTCGAATTTCTACATTTTGCGAATTTTTTTCGAGGAACTAAGAACATTTTGGAATTTTCTTCCGTAAAATAACTTCTAAATAGCGAAGTGAATTTTCTATTTAATGAACTTTTCTTTATGATCTATTTTCCTTATTTTCCAAAATATTTCAGAACATTTGAAACTTGTTTAACGCATTTTGTGGGGGAATTAATTTTCGAAGCCACTGCTTTATACAATGTTTTAGTGCTTTCTCTAAAAGTTAGATAATGTTTTGTCCATTCTTGCTTTCTGTGCAGAAAATACTTTTATGGTTCAAATTTATAAAATAAAGAGTAGATACTAGTTTACAAGATAAAGGTGCATCAATTGCTATTTTAATTATGCCTAGTATTTATGAATTTAAAAACTGTTTTGTGATGTTCAAGTATTTTAAAAGGTGATTTTTCTATTTAACGAATTTTCCATATACCGAACTTATTATCGAAATTTAGTGACTTCGTTAAATAGAGGTCCGGCAGTTTATGCCCACTAAATAAAACTTATTAATTTTCTTAAATTTCTTCTTTTTTCTCTCTTATCTTTTTACTTTTTTTGTCTTTATTGTGCTATATACAGGGGTCTGTCCAGACATTTTGTGAAAGGTCCGTTTTCCGTGAAATTGTTAACAATCAAATAAAAGTCCGTAACCNAATTAAAATCATTAATGCAATGATTTTAAATGAGGTTTCATTAAGCCTGACTAAAAATTAAAAGGACAAAAATAGAGAGGATAGATCTTATGGTACTTGGCATGGATACAAATATATATATATATATATATATATTTATATATCATTTTAAAGAAAACAGTTGAATATCAGTGTGCCTAATTATAGCTTATTTTATTATTTCAGCTTCAAATTTTTGACAGTAATAAGGACGGAAAATTGCAGCTCAGTGAAATGGCAAAGTAATATTTTTAAAATATATATACACTTTATTATCTTTATCTTTTTATCTTATCTTATTTATCTTTATCTTTACACGATTTATCTTTTGTAATTTATTAAAAAAGTTCATTTGAGTTCGCTACTCGCTTTATAGATTACGTTTTGTGTTTTGTTCTGTTTTTTCTTTACATTTAATTTCTGTTTTTTACGTAATATTTATCACTTTATGTGTTCTATTTTGTTTCTAAATTTTTTTTTGGTGCTCCTCACACTATTGTATTGATATATTTTGCTTTGGCTATATTGATATAATATTAGAAAGCACTCCTTCTTGCGGATACAATCGTGTGAGCTGATGAAGAGACTATATCTTTTTCTCCCGGATTTTTATTTAATTTTTTATTTTATTTTAATAATTTTCTTCTCCTCTTTTCATTATTCTGTAATTTTATGCCATGTTTTCTCTATATTCTGAACTTTTAAAACAAAATAAACCGAATGAGTTCTTTCTGTGACGAAATTTGTAATTGACCCAGCACAGATAATCACAAACCCAAGCTACACAAATATCGATGAACCTAAGACACAAAAAATGTCTTAATTTCATTTTTAAATGACAACTTATTAATATTTTCTTCTTTTTTTTGTTAAATAATGCATAATATTTTAAGGTCCGAAAACTGGTCATCTCCAAGTTTTTATTATTTTTCAAATTAAAAAATGAAGTGATGTTATCCCACAATTGCAATAGAATATCCACTGCAGAACAAATATAGTGATTCTTTCGATGATAACGTTTAGCATAGTTTTAAAGTTTTAATATTATAAGCACCCTGCAGAGAACCGATCGTTAAGACACGGTTCCCAGTAGAACACCGAAGTCAAGCATCACTGGCTGCGGTCAGTGTGCGGATGGGTGACCGCTTGGATCAGTCTACGAAGGGACCGAGGGTGTGCAGTATGGGTCCTCGTTAAACTGTTATACCGTAAAGTACTCGAATTCACGCGTAGGTGGTCCGACTACGAAGTGGCGTTGCCATCCCCTCTGCAGAGGATCAAAATTGTATTGGTTTGTCTTTGGATCGGATCATCCTCAGGGATGTTTCCCAGACCGTCGCCAATAGCCCATTGTGAGCCGCGATGGCTCAGGGGAAAATGCGTTCGCCTTTCAATACGGCTAACCGGGTTCGAATCCCAGACGATATGAATTCCGCATCCGGCTTGCACCGATCACAGTGCTGACGTGAAATAACCTCGGTGGTAGACGGATCATGAGTCCCCTTGCTGTCAGGCTAACCGTGTGAGGTTCTCGTGGTCTTCCTCTCCATGTAACGCAAATGCAGGTTAGCTCCATCGAAAAGCTCCATCCTCCACGCAGGCAAATTTCTCTCAATGTTCGATCTAGGAGTTCCCTTGTCTTCTCGATTGGGTTCAAAACGACAAGGCTACGGAGATGAACATTAGTAGTCGTAAACTCGTAGAATTGGGTCGGCTGTTCAACGACGGTTATAAAATAGCCCATTGTGTAACTCTAGTGCGACGTAAATAAACTACAACAACAACACACACACAGATATATATGTCAGGTATATATGACGAGTTACTTCAAACTACACCATAATGCGATGATGTTGGTTATCATCAACTAATTCAATCAACCATATGATCAATAACAATGATATTTATTCTTCAATAATAACATGAGTCACATAGACTCTTAAGCAATTAGGTTCGAACCACACAGGTTCCAAGTTTTACCTAAAAACAAACAGTTTCACTTAGAAACAAACATTAATTAACGAATAACAGATTCACTCAGAATCTTAACCACTAAGGTTACCAGTTTCCTCTAGAAACAATATCAACTGACTAACTCTTCCTTTACATCGAGAAAGTTCCAATACATTCTTGTTCCGGCGAGCGNCGAAGATTCCCCGTGTAATAAACAGTGACTGATGCACGTTAAATTTTTCAAGCTACAAAATCCTTTATGTTCCCGTAACAAATCATACCTCTAGGGGTATTGATCCAGAAATTTCCTTGCCTTTTGGATTAGTTCAAAATTACAAGACTGCGGAGTTGAACATTAGTAGTCCTAAATCCGAAATTGCGTCGGCTGTTCAACGACGGTTATAAAATAAAATAAAAAGAACGTGTTTTGCTTCATTTAAAAACGTAAAACCACCACCAACAAATAATAAGTAATTGTATTGATTTTAGCTTTATTAATTTTGTCGGTATATGCCCTTCAGACTTGTGCAGAATTTTTTAGTACTTTTCAGTACAGATTTATTGACGTTTTTAATCGCGCCTTTCTTAGAGCCGGTATTCAGCTAGTAACAAATATTAAACAAGTTTTATTAACGTTTCTGAGATTATTCATGCCATCTGCGCAGTAATTGTAATAACCCATATAAACCACTCAAAACACAGCATGATGCATTATGAACTCATGAACTTCTGTCCTATGTTATTTTATGTATTCAATATTATTAGAGAGCAAATTGTGTCAGATAATGGAGAAGGTCTGGAAAACGTTTGACTTATAAATTCTTCATTATTGCCCAGCTCAAATCAATTCAATTCAATTCGCTTACAAATTTTAAGTCCCGCAGTGGACTGATCGTTAAGACACGGTTCCCAGCAGATCACCGAAGTCAAGCATCACTGGCTGCGATCAGTGTGCGGATGGGTGACCACTTGGATCAGTCTACGAAGTAACCGAGGGTGTGCGGTATGGGTCCTCGTTAAACTGTTCTACCGTAAAGTACTCGAATTCACGCGTTGGTGGTCCGACTACCGAAGCGGGGTTGCCATCCCCTCTGCAGAGGATCAAAATTGTGTTGGTTTGCCTTCGGATCGGATCATCCTCAGGGATGTTTCCCAGACCGTCGCCAATAGCCCATTGTGAGCCGCGATGGCTCAGGGGAAAGAGCGTTCGCCTTTCAATGCGGCTAACCGGGTTCGAATCCCAGTCGATATGAATTCCGCATCCGGCTTGCACCGATCACAGTGCTGACGTGAAATATCCTCGGTGGTAGACGGATCATGGGTTAGAGTCCCCTTGCCGTCAGGCTAATCGTGTGAGGTTCTCGTGGTCTTCCTCTCCATGTAACGCAAATAGGGGTTAGCTCCATCGAAAAGTCCTCTACGCAGGCAAATTTCTCCCAATATTCGATCTAGGAGTTGCCTTGTCTTCTGGATTGGGTTCAGAACGACAAGGCTACGGAGTTGAACATTAGTAGTCGTAAACCCGTAGAATTGGGTCGGCTGTTCAACGACGGTTATAAAATTATAAAATAGTCCATTGTGTAACTCTAGTGCGACGTAAATAAACTTCAACAACAACACACACAGATATATATATTCAGGGGTCTGTTTAGAAGAAATTTGATTTACAAAATATCTTTTCATAAAAACGGACCCTTCACAAAATATTTTAGCTTAAAAACGGACCCTTCACAAAATATTTTAACTTAAAAACGGACCCTTCACAAAATGATTTTTCTTTTAATCGGACCCGTCACAAATTTGTTAATCTTCGTTATTATTTTGTTAATCGAATAAACCCTTTCCAGGGCATAAAACAAGAAAGATAGATGTAAACGAATTAAGTTTTGTCTTCGGCAGACGATTCTTCCATTATTCGTCCGAAATTAATATTCTGCTTTCAGCAGTATAGACTAAGTACCAAATATTTGTATGTTGCATCTCTAATTTAGAAGCAGAAATTGTTGTTTATTTTTTTAAATTTAATTCTTTTTAATTATAATTTTACAGAATTGAGCTGATAATCTTGTATGTCTTTACAATTTAAAAACTCCTTGAAAAAGTTTTTTTGTGTAATAACGGACCCTATTTGCACAAATTCATAAAAGCGGACTCTGGTTGAAAGAATGTGAGTAATTTTTTCACAATTTCACGCAAAACGGACCTTTCACAAAATGTCTGGACAGCCCCCAGATATATATACAGGGATCTGTCCAGAAATTTTGTGAAAGGTTCGTTTTTGTAAAATTGTGCAAAAATTACTCGTAATTTATGAATATAAAATAAACGTTAAGTCACATTTTTTCAATTAGGGTCCGCTTTTGTGAATTTGTGCAAATAGGGCCCGTTATTACAAAAAAACTTTTTTAAGGAGTTTTTAAATTGTAAAGACATACAAGATTATGCTCAACACTGTCAAATTATAATTAAAAAGAATTAAATTTTAAAAAAAATAGCAATTGCTGCTGCTATTTTAGACATGCCACATACAAATATTTGATATTTAGCCTATACTGCTGAACGCAGAATATTCATTTCGGATGAATAAAGAAAGGAACTTCTGCTGAAGACAAAACTTAGTTCGTTTGCATTTGTCTTTCTTCCCCCCCTTCCTTCCTGGGAAGGATTTATTCAATTAACAAAACATTAATGAAGATAAATTATTTTGTGAAGGGTCCGTTTTTATGAAAAGATATTTTGTGAAGGGTCCGTTTTTAAGTTAAAATATTTTGTGAAGGGTCCGTTTTTATGAAATGATGTTTTGTGAAGGGTCCGTTAACGGACCCAAATTTCTTCTAAACAGACCCCTGATATAGTGTCCTCACAGTATTCTGATCATTAAGACGCGGTTCAAGCGGTCAGTGAGGAGGCGTCCAAGGCGCAGGATGCACCAGGTTTAGTGCTACGTAAATTAATGACTACTTCGCAACACAAAAGAATACAATCGATCATAATTTTTGTTACGCAAAATTGCCACAAAAATGTTTTTGTGAACTGAAACTAAACTAACCTTTGAAATACTTTATTTTCAGATTACTCCCCGTTAAAGAAAATTTCCTGTGTCGATCCGCTTTTAAAGTAAGTTTGTTCATTCTTGTCTTTAGGTTCTTGTCTTTGTGACTAATGTTTTCATTACTGTACTTTTTCTATGTTTCATCGACGTCAATTTTGTTTTTTTTTTTGGTAAATATATGACCTTGTAAAACCGATATTTACTAAATTTCCTAACCCAGAAAGCATGTAATCTTATGACAACCTTTTTTCTTATTGTCGCGAAAATATTTATACTAAAAACCTTTTTACAATCAAGCAAAAATATTGCTGTTTCAAACCTTTCCTCCTAAAAGGATTATTTTTTAAAAAAGTATTGTCCCTTATGTCCACCATGACGTTTTAGTTGACGTCACACTAGCGATAGGATCCAATTGCATTGCTCATTAAAATTTCGTGACAAGGTGGATGTGAGATGAGCATGCAAGACTTTTTGAAAAGAAACCCCATAATGACCTAGATTTAAGATTATTTTCACCTTTAGACAAGCTTCATTAAAGGGATTTTCACGGTTGAAAACCATAAGTCAACCTCGATTGAGGGTTTTTATATAGAAGGTTGTTTTCCAAGGTTTTGGATGAAGGTAATGTTCATAGAATAGAGCAGATTACAACAGATCTCGTTTTAGAGTTGGAAGGTTTACACGTAAACCGTATTACAAACCTTTTTAGGTTTACATTGAAAGGCTTTTGTTGAACCCTATTTTGCTATCTGGGTATTTGGTCTAGAAACCCATGGTTTCTGTATAAGATGATTGCACCTCTTATCACCCAGATCTATTTTTTTTTTATACAAGCCATACTGTTTAGATTAATAAAAACAATCCTTTTTTATAAGAGCCTCAAAAGTTAGTTGAATACATACTGTGCGCAAAATAAAAACAGCTGCATAACTTTTGATCTAATTGCAAGCAACCTTAAATATGGTACTGCACAGAAACTTTTTCTACGAATTGAAATTTATAGCCCCCTTCGAAATAGAGTTCAGTCTTACTTATCATTTCTCTAGCGCAGTGTTTCCCAAAATGTGGTACGCGTACCCCAAGGGGTACGGGAATTGTTTCGCGTGGGAACGCGTCCTTACGTAAAATATCTTATAACAAACGAAAATATCAAAAAATTTTATTTAAGAACAAAGCTAGCTATAAAAATTTACGATAACATATTTTTATATTGGCTACTTTTTGCAGAGCTAACAGTTATAATAATGAGTGGTGTCAACAGCCAGTTGTGGGGCTGGGATAGCCTGCTCGGTAGGGCGCTGGGCCCATGTCCGAGAACCCCGCCGGCCGTGTACCAAAGTGACTGATGCACGTTAAATCTGTCGAGTCGCAAAAGTCCTCCATGTTCCTATAACAAATCAATACCTCTGGGGGTACTGGATTGGAGATTGATCGTTCACTGATTCAGGTCAAAATTACGGATGTATGAATGAGTTCGCCCTATAAACGGGTGTGACGTATTGTGTGGCAGAAGTCGAATTCTTGTCGCTAGATGACGCCACTGGAAAACAAGAACAATCGCACAACAGGCATACGCCAACAGCAACAACAACAGCCAGTTGTGATTTTTAACTTTTGTGCAATTTTTTATAGTTAAAAATGCATTCATTTTTTTTTATTAGTGGTACACAACGTTACGAAAAATGTAGAAAAGGTACACAAAAGTCATAAGTTTGGGAGACACTGCTCTAGCGTTTGCTATTTAAAAGAAAATAGATCATTTTTATGCATATAAGGGGCAATTCAACATGAATAAAGCGATTACAAACGGCTGTAACTATTTAATGATTTTATCGATAAAATTAACACAAAATGTCGAAGGAACATTGTAGACATGTGACACAGATTTTCTATTTGACTTCCCTTGGTCACACGGACAACATCTAGGCTGTAGTCCAATTCGCGTCATCGTCACGTGGCCTTCCGTTACTTGCAGCAAACATCCTATGCGTATATTTTTCCCATTTAAGAAGGTTCTTGATTGTAACGCTGACGAAATCTTTTCTGCTCTGTAATAACAGAATCACAATTGTTAAATTCTAACACGCAGAATGCTTTCTGCACGGGAACGTTTTTAATTATGAACTCGCGCATGCGCAGGATTCCGCGACACTGCGCCTTACGTTAAAAAAATTCCATTCTCTGTTAATCTTATGGATAAATTACCACTATGTGTCCTGATACATTTGGCCAGATAGTGTATATATATATATATATATATATATATATATACACACACATGTATATATATGTGTATATATACATATATATAT